TAAAAGTGCATAATTCTGTACTTGTCTCTCCCTGTGAAATACGGCAGCTGGACCTTTAGCTAGCAACTTGACGCAACATGTTAGATCTTTATGCGCGCTTGTCTTGTGTGTGGCTAGCGAGATGCTGGAGTACAGCGACCGCAACTTATGGCCACCTGCAGTCATGCCAGTGTTGTGCCAAAAAAATAAATAAATAAAAACACCGGCCCATTTTAACGTCTTTAACTATGCCTCACAGTTTTCCCCCTCTTTCATCTCTTTTTATGCCACATCTCCTGGTGATTAATACACGAGCAGGACTGCCTTTCATGTGTTCTTGCTCAGACTCAAATCGGTTTGATGTTTGAAGGCTCACAGTGCCGTGAAAAAAAAACTCCTCTCAAGTACGTCAAACCAAAATTAATGGGCCTGTTTTGAAAATGTAGGGAGTAAAAGTAAAAAGTTTGTACTTCTCTTTTTTCCCCACCTCTGATGATGGGATGTCTGCTTGTGTCGAGCAGGTGCAGATGCCAAACAGCCTGGAGTACCAGCCAGTGGAGTGCGCTATTGTGGTGAATGCAGCAGGAGCCTTTTCTGGTAAACTGACCGAGATGCTGGGAATTGGCTTTGGCCCCAAGCAGTCCATCGCTGGAATCCCACTGCCTGTTGAGCCACGGAAAAGGTAGGCTATTGACTCGAGGGGCTGCTAGAGTTTTCTTTGAAAGGCAGCGCCTCATACAGCGAACCGCATCAATACCAAACAGCTTTTTTCAGACTCTGCACCCCGAAAATTGAAAAACCAACTTCACCATCTGCAGTCTTTTCATTTTACTCTTTCTCTGCATCATTTAGACTACAGATAAAAATGAATCTAAGTAGGATACAAGCGAGTTAGTCACATAACTTTAGTCGGCATGACCTGGACTGTTTGAGTATGTTTGAGTATGTATGCCATCAGACAAGTTTTTATTATTCCTCAGACTCAAGCATTCTGTGTAAATGGTGTCTTTAGATTTAGGTAGAGCCATTGCACCCCTACTGCCAGTCCCAAACTTGGATAAATGGGTGTGTTTAATACGAAAGGACATTCACCATTAAATCAAAAAATGAGATTTCCATACCAAATCAGTCTGAGCTCGGCTTAACAAAGACCACCTCCATTGGCTTTGGCTAACAGAGTGCTGATGGAAACTGCGCTACTGTTA